TTCTAGTGTTACTCATCATTCAATTTAGTCACATCCATTTATTGTGATTGTTCCTTCGTATTTTTTTTTCCCCTCAAATGTCAGTTCTTTGGAATTTGCTTTCTTCATCTTATTTTCCTAATTTATACAATTTGCGATCTTTGAAATTATGTGTTAATCGTTAACTTCTTTTATAAATTTTATCTTTTCTTTTCCAGTAACTTCCAACTCTTATAGTGGTTACTTGCAACCTTGTTTGAAATAAAAATGTTTAAAAAAAAAAAAAAAAACTTAGCTGAATGATGAGTTAGATGAGATTGAGTTTAATGGAAATAGTGATGATAACTCACTTTAACAGTGACTTGGTAGTATTTGTAAAAAAAAGTAAGTAACCTTGCAGTAATAAGACAAATGTTGAAATTTGCTGCTAGAGCAGGTCCAATGATATTTACAATATCATTAGAAGGAAAACTTCAGTTTCTTTAGAGAGTTATAAGTAGAATTATGGAGAATGATTTTTAAGACTGTGATGGGACTGTTGCCAAGACAACAAGCTGTAGAAGAGTTTAAGTAAAAAATCACATTAGCTACATAAGCAGAAATTGTTTCTATGTCAATTAACTTTTACTTTTTAACAATTAACTTGTTTCTTAGGGATGGCATTTCTCCCAATAGAAAACATAGAGCTTAATGACGTTCACATATTATTTTTTTCAATTAATATGAGTTAATTATTTATCAAATGTGTCTTTTGTCGACCATAGCAACTAAATGTTTTGTTTCAACATATACATAATCCTAATATTTATTACTTAATGAATATTTATCAACTTCATTTGAGAATTACAATATTCAGTTTTTCAAAATAATAATTAGTATTATGCAAAAATAACTTTTACAATAATAATTAACAGTATTGTTTCTCTTACATAAACCTTTCCTTTATTTATTTTTTTGCCTCTAAATTATTTTTTAATTTAAACATTTTACTTGGTTGATTATTTTTTAAAACTTGAACTTAATAAATAATTTTTTTTTATATTACTTATTTTTATTTAGTTATGTTTTTTACTTATTTTTGTTTATACTTTTTACTTTTTTAAATGTTCAGTTAAACTTTTTTCAAAAGTTGAACTGAACATTTTTTTTTTTAATTTTTTATTTTTATTTAGTTATGTTGTTTTGTTTTTTTAGTTATTAGCAAAAACATTAAGTGAAATCAATTCTGAAGATTGGTATTTGACATTAGGTCAAGAAATGGGGACACAAATTTCACTCTACAATGGTTTTCCTGACGACAAGGTGTGTCATATATCTATAATATACTATAATTGTGTACTTTAATCTGTATTTTCATACTTCAACTTTTTTTTAAATTATAATCTTTATATTTTGATGGTCATTCATAAACTATGTACACTCTTAAAGGGAATAGGTGGTCAGTAAACAGTGTACAAAGCCTATTATTGTATTATACTAATTCCAAATTAATGTTAATTTTTCTAATTATAAAATACTTGTTAATAAATAAATATTATTTAATAAATAACAATAGAAAAGGGGAGGGGATAGTGCCCCCTATGGATACACATTATACCCCTCATTGTACTGGCTGTGAGAAAAGCAAATGTGTATTTCATGAACTGTTTAAGTCCACAAAAACCAGGTTTTAGGATTTGGTTTTCAATATTACTTGTTTCATGTAAGACTTATTTTTTACAGACTTACTAAACGAGGCTGCCTAACACATGTCCTAATACATGTCCTTTCTAATCAAAGTTAATTTATTTTGTCATTTAAAAATACTGCAGATGTGTGCGCCCACTAAAACAAATTAAGGCCTATTTGCGGTGGTGGATCTATAATGGAAGGGGGGGAGGAAGGCTATATTTTTTGCAGCCCTTTTTTTTCTGCAATTTTTTAAAAAAAATTTTATTTTTATTTATTTAACACAACATGTTGTTAGAAAAAGAAGAAAGTAAATTAGGCTCTTTAAAAGTGATATGAAATTTAAATACAATTTTAAGATGCAAGTTTTAAATTGAACTATTAAAATAATAATACATTACATCATTTCATAAATACATAATAAAGGACTGGTATTTATATAAAAATTAATAAATTATGTATTATGATCTTCCCATTAAAATCTTAAAAATTATTCATTTAGTTTGAAGTTTTTAATTGTTTTCAACAAATAAAAACCACAATTCTCAGGTTAAATCTTATATTTTATCTCAAAAGTGCCTTGAAAATTTTTTACTAATGTCATTAAGAAAGACATGTGTAACATTACTCCTATCATATATGGATTTTATTACCTTTCGGGTACTATTAAATATGCGGTTGCATTTTAAGTATATTTTCCTAAGAAAAACTTGGAAATTGCTCTGATCTCTCTAATAAACCTCAATCAGTTTCAAACTTGTTTCAATTGCAATTATTAGTATTACTTACTATTATAAGAAAAGTTTTTATTATTATTATTAACAATTCTAATATCTCATCTGAAAGTCTCTATATTTCATCTAAAATTCTAATGTCTCATCATCTTCTCAGACTGATTGACTTTGACTGATTGACTTTCAATCTATCACACTACTGGGTATCATGCTACTAGGTATTAGTAAGTGACCAGGGTTGATATTTGACCAGGGCTGGGTTTAGTAAAACTTAGCCGGGGCCGGGTTTATGACCATGGCTGCATTAATATTGATAAACTATATAAATATATTTTTTTTATCCTCATCATCATCATCATCATCATCATCATCATCATCATCATCATCATCATCATCATCATCATCATCATCATCTTCTCTTACTTTTGCTCCTAATGACTAATAATCGCAAAAAGCTCTGTTTTTAGCCAGGGTTAGGGCCCTGGTCACTTATTACTGGGTATTATGCTACTGCTAATTTGTTAATTTTAAGTTCTTTAATAAAAGAAGGCTCTTGATGTATCAAAATTTTTTGATAAAATCTAGTTGTCTTGCTCTTTTTACATGATGGTACAGTTGCAGTATTTAAATTTTTCAATGTTTTTCAGTTCTACAAGTTACATTCCTGGTCCCGTATTGTTATTGTATATCTATATTAATGATCTTACTATCTAAACTCTATACTCATTTTGTTAACTATGCAACTATTTGATAATTACATACTCTGTTATTTAATAATTACATACTCTGTTATTTTACTTATTTCTCATTTAATAAAATCGTGATCATAAGGTATTTAACTGCTTTACACAGCTATTTTTGAATGTGATTTTCTTTGGCAGCTTTGGCTGCAGTAGCAGGTTAATTTTAACCCAAACAAAACTGTTTACTGCTAATCATTGAATAATTAATAATTGTTATTGTTTTAATACTTAATATTAATTATTATAATAAATAATAATTATTTCCATATTATATGATATAAGTAATTATTGTTTCTATATTGTGATGTGTTATTTTTTAATAATATTTTTATTCTCATATTTTGAATGGCAGAAGTTTTACTGAACCTTGTACTTGTTTTTACTTTTTGGATCATCTTTCACTTGAAAACCAATCTATTGTCAATCATTGTAATATTGTAATAATACATTGTATAAAAGTATTCACATATAAGTCAAAAAATTTGTAATATATATATATAAATATATATATATATATATATATACACACACACACACACACACACACACACACACACACACACACACACACACACACATATATATATATGTATGTATGCATGTATGTATGTATGTGTATATGTATGTATGTATGTATGTATGTATGTATGTATGTATGTATGTATGTATGTATGTATGTATGTATGTATGTATGTATGTATGTATGTATGTATGTATGTATGTATTTATGTGTGTGTGTATATATATACTTTTTGTTTTTAGAACTTCTTGTATAAGTGCCTAGGTGTAATTCTTAGAAAAATTGGTACTACAGAATTTATTAGAGAGCATCTAAATATAATTTTCTCCACAGTTGACCATAATAACCAAATTGAGAGAGAAGGATGTGCTGTTGGTGTTGGGTTTTGTGCTGCTTCACATCTTGATCAGTGTCTAATGAAACTTGAAGAAATTACGAAAACGCAAATGGTTCGGAAGGCATCTGGTTTTATGGGTTTGATTAAGGTATTTTTTCTTTTTTGAAATGAAATGTAAGTTATGTATGTTAAAATTTCATAAAGATTTTAAAATTTACTACATTTTTCCTTAAAACATTGTGAAAAAAATTATTGCATAAAAAATGACTGTATCAGTTTTTTGTTCAAAACTTTTTTGCTTTGTATATATTTATATATTTTGTATATATTAATATACATATATACATATATTGATAAAAAGTCTTTTATATTTACAAACATTTTACTTTATCACAAAAAGCCAAAAATTTAAATTATCTTGATTCTTTCTCTATTAGTCCTTACTCTTTTTAAAATTACTTGTATGCTTTCATAAAAAGACCTCTTACATAAAAATTGCACCCAAAAGACCCAAAACATTATAATATTTTGTTCTATATAAATTTACATGGTGGCCATCAACCAGGAAAAAGTCAGGAAAAATGAAATCAAAAATTATCTGGCCACCATGATTTGTATATCCCACCCGTAATGTTGAACATATTGGTGATACACTGTACACTACACAATAAGGATTTTTAATCATTTAATTTCTAATAAAGCCTCTCACATTAACAAACATCTAGCTTCATTACAAAAATGCAAAAGTTCTACAAGTTTTGATTCTTTTTGATAAAAAGCTTCTTCTAATTACAGCTCAAAATTATGGAAATAATTTTGAAATTATCATTATGGAAATAATTTTGAAAAAATCTTTGCTTAATATAAAGTAATAAGACCAATACTATAAAGTATTGTAGACAATGCTACACAATGCTACAGGCATTAAAAAAAGACCACTCTGCAATTTTTCAAGTTAAAAAAACACTAAAACAGGAATTTTCATTACAAACAACTGTATTTTACTTTACAATATTCAAATTTATCCTTTTTTTTTTTTTTTTGATCATTTTTTGGATTCGGCATGCTGAGAATCAGGTTTTTGTTGTACTCAGCAAGTATTTCCTTTATCCAAACTTCTTTTGTTGCTTCTTTCAATGATTCAATGCTTGGAGGCTGTTTGTCTGCAACCTTATTCTTTATAATCTCTCAGAGATTTTCGATAGGTTTGAGGTCTGGGCTGTTCATAGGCCAATCCAGGATTGGACAAGTAGCTATATGATTTATAAGGTGATCATCTCTAAAACTGGTTTTTCGTGGAAATTTCTTCTTGTCGCAAAAACTCCCAAAAGTTTCGAAAATTATATTTGCAGTGTGGACAGCTCTTATATTATAATTTACTTTTACACCAATTTGATTTAATTGGAAAATCATTGAATGTAACAATTTTAGCCCTTTCAGTTTTAGAAAGAAATGACTTTTTGCCTATGATTCTTCGGAAATTCATTAGGATTTACAATCCCAGAAGTCTTTCTCAATCCTGGGATTCTGGAATTGAGAAACATCAATCCTGGGATCCCAGGATTAAAAAACAGATATAGCATCTATATAGTATTAAGTAGAATTAGAAATATATATATATTTTTTAATTCTTAAACAAAAATATATTTTATAAATGATGCTGTTTGCATTACATTGTTACATGCATAAAAGAAAAACATATAATTAATGTTAAGAAATAAGGAAATATATCATTAGAAATAAGGAAATATATCATGTTTCATGTACTTTGAAATGCGACTTCAGGAAGCACAACGCATCCAATGTTTCATCACCCAACCTGTTACAAATTTTATTATTAAACAGTCCAGCGGAAGAAAATGCCCGCTCAGCCTCGACACTTGTTGGTTTCACCATCATTAGAAATGAATAATTTTTTTTTAAATAATCACCACATGTATCATCATTTTCTAATAATGTCATTTCTTTTTGAATTTTTGATAATAATGTTTCATGTCTAACTGGTTGCATCGGTGATTGCGCTTCCTTAATTACACGACCAAGCTCCTCTTCAATACTTATAGTGTTATTTTCAGTTTCAGGTTCTTCAATAAAATCCAGCATATCAGACTCAACTGATGCTCTTACTAAAGCAAGATTAGAAGTGTTTAATCTTTCCAGCAATTCTACTAACAGTTTTCAACATTTAAATGAAGAAGGCACTGTAATTATTTCTTCATCGACTTCAACAGAACTTTGACTGTTATGCAGGTATTGCAGAAGTCCACTCATATCAGTTCGACGTTTATGTATACGAACCATTAAAGCTGTACGCATTTCCTTGCTTGTGTTATTGTCAGCATCTTTTAATTTTGTAAGCATAAAATCTCAACGACAAAATGCTTCAACTGTTGCTTTAATAGGAACTAAAGTTGTAATAATCTCTGGTAATATTGTCAAATCATCATACGACAGAGCTATAGAGTTATCTTGCATTGTATAAATATCAATTAATGATTTTTGTATACAATTTTTTACTTTATAAAATCGTTTAAGCATTAACAGGCTGCTCCACCTTGTTTTACAATTCATAATTAAAGACAGTTGTTTTCCAAATTCAGCCGTAATATATTTTTGTAAGATGTTGTTCTTGGTAGGTGATCGTCTAAATATCTTTATCAACTTGCGTACTTTTTTAATGACTGGTTCATAATGAACTTCATTTAGTTCAATTTTAAATCTTAAAGTTTCATCATTGTAGCCCAGTAAACCTTCCTCAGTATCCTCATTCTTGGATGAATCACTGTCAAAAAATTCATTTTCAAATTCCTGATGATTTGCATTGAATTCTCTTTATTTATAAATAACATCAATTACAGCAAGTTGTATGCCGTGGGCAAAAAATAATTAATGATTTGCAGCCAGCAACCTTCCAACTTTTTTCATAACACTAGCTCTGTCAGTCATTATAGCCACAATGTCGCTGTGATCAAGATAATGGTCTTTAAGTTTTTTTTCTAATAGTTCAATGCACTTTTCTGCTGGTATTAGCCTTGTTATTCGCGCTAAACCCTAACTCCAAAACTTAAACTTTTTTCCATGAACGTTATTATTCATATAGCGACAATTCCTAATTGATGTCCATTTGTTAAAAGACAAAGTAAAATTCTCTCCTCGAATTCTGTACTCTTGAGCCCTTTAGTTTGCTGAACTAAATCTTACTTTTTTGTTGTACTCTACTACATGATTATGAATTGTGTTTACTGACGTTGATAGATTTCTGAATCCCATAGCAGTTAGAGCGGTACATAAATCTATTGAAGAACAAATCACATTAAATGAAAGCCCGTCAGACACCGTTAGATGAGCAAGTGTAGTTATCTTCCTTTTCAAAAATTGAAAAGTATTCTGTTAGTGGTTTAGATTTTTTTTTTGGCGGTTTGTCTGATGTATTTTCTCCGGTAATATTAGGTTGGGTTGGACTTTCGACCTTCATATTATGCACCAACAAAATGTGTATATGAAGTCTTTTTGTTGAACCACCACAGATTTTCAAAATCTTCTTGCAGTTTGGCAGTTTACACATCGCTGTTTGCTCTTTCTTTTCTCAAAAAAATATTTCTAAACAGCTAAGTTACTTTTAATTGTAAAACCACATATGCCATGCTTTTTTTTGAATTTAATTTTTTTTTCAGTTTAAAAAAGTTTATTTTGCAGAATAACAGAACAGAATAACTGAAAATAGAATTACTTTCTGTGATATTATACTAAATAAAATTTATTATATTGATGCGCATATATTGTTGTTATTTATATATATTTTTTGGTTTCACCTTTGTTTTGCTCGATCGTATAGGGAATCCCAAAAATTTCAGGATTGTAAAAAAGGCAGGGATTCCTGGATTTCAAGATCCCGGGATTGCAAACCCTAAAATTTATGTTAATTTGATTTAAGTTAAAAAAAATTTTTAACGTAAAACATTCATTTTTTTAATGTTATTTAGATATATATATATATATATATATATATATATATATATATATATATATTATATATATATATATATATATATATATATATATATACACACACACACACATACACACTTTATTAGGTATACATTATACACAAAGAACAGTTAAGAGCCATTTTTTACTTAAACAGTATTCATTTAACACAAAGAGAAGTTTTTATTTAAACAGTGTACATTAGTCATTAGTGTAGGTTGTATAATTTTTGTTTGTTTTTTGTTTTAGGATAAATCTGAGGCAGAAGTAGAAAAAGTTAAGAGCACAGTTATGTTGTGTTATGGATATGTTGTTTTTTATGGGCCTTCTGGGTAATTTTAATATTCCTTAATAAATTCAGTTTATAATTCATTACTTATAATTAAAAAATTACATTTGAGAAAATAAAAGACTGATTCATCTTTTTTTTTTTTACATCGTTAGAACTTGAGTGGTTGATCTATTCCTTTGATGCAAATATTTTTATTTTCTTAAATATTTTAAATTAGATGCTAACTGCATAGCTAAAGCTCAAGATGATTCAAACTCTTTAACAATAGTAAGAAGAAGATGATAGTAAGAAGAAGATGATATAAGAGGGGGATGATAGTAAGAAGAGGATGATAGTAATGAGAGGATGACAGTAATGAGAGAATAATACTAAGAAGAGGGTAATAGTAGAAAGAGGATGATAGTAATAATAAGATGATAGTATGAAGAGGGTGATAGTAAGAAGAGTGTAATAGTAAGAAGAGGATAATAGTAGAAAGAGAGTGATAGTAAGAAGAAGATGATAATAATAAGAAGATGATAGTTAGAGGCATCAGAGGCATCTCTAATTAATTCTAATTAAAGATTAGAAAAATTAGAACCGTAGATTCCATTTTCCAGAAAACAGAATGTAAAAGTGTGATAGAAATGTTAACTACAATCTGTAGAGGAATTCAAGTAATGAATAATTTTAGCAGCGGAACTATGTGTGATTTGGCTGTCTAACATACTTAGATAGCTAAATCTTAAATTATGCTATTTCTTTGAAGTTGCAGGAAATTTATTGTCAAGAGAGGAGAAGAAGTTCATAAGAAGATCTTATCATGACTCATGTGAGAGATTGAATAAAACAATAAATTTTTATGTTTGTTAATGAAAGTTTGTTAATGACTCATGTGAGAGATTGAATGAGAGAGACTTTCGTTTGTTAATAAGTTTTACCGAAAGTCATAAGAACTTAACTTCTGAGATAAAGTTCAAGATTTAGTAACATAAGAATTGATCTTTGTATCTTTTTACATTGTTTTCTTCCAACAATAAAAAAGCATTTGTTTTTCAGAGTGTTGATTTGTTGAAAGGATGAAAAAAGAGATTGTTAGTAGTAGCTTCATAAGAAGGAGAAAACCATTGAGTAGTGTGTAGCATGACTTGAAATAATTTCAATGACTTGAAAAGAGAAGTCCAGTTCAGAAAGTTATAAGGAAGAAGCAATTTTTGGCAAAAAGACAAAAGACATCAGGTTAAAGAAAATCAAAAGAATTCCTGTCAGCCTTGGTGGTAGTAAAAAGTGCAATGGTTGTGATGGTATGATGAATCTTTTGTATTTGATGGTGAATTTGATGTGAAAAAAGCACAAGATGTTTTATTATTATCTGAACCACCTAAATTGTTGTAATAGAGTATAACTAAAATGTAGTAATAGAGCCATTCAGCATTTCACCAATTACCACAATATCGTCTGAGGGTTAAAGAGAAAAGGCATGTTGATCAGAAGCAACACTAAGTAGAGAGCAGTGGAAAAGATCTGTTAAGTGAAAGCACACAGAAAAATAGGCAAAGAATTTAAATTTTTTTGTCATAAATTTGTGAATTAATAGAAATGGCCAGGCCAAGTATGGATCAATGGACACTTTGCAAATAAAATGTTTAAAAAATAAAAAGTTACCCTGAAGACCACAGAATCAGTTTAATGATAATTAGGATTTTTTAAATTATTTTTAGGCGCTCTTAAGTTAATAGAGAACTCGGCTCATGACATTCAAATAAGTTATGCAGTTACCTTAGTCCTGCTTATGAACTCTAAATTAAGCTTTTTATTTGGCTTTAACAATGCTTACCAAAAGCACTAAAAGAATTACCTTGTGTGTTCATACTTGGCACTTTTTGAGATACCTTACTACCAACTGGCTGCAGATTATAATAAAAACAAAAGTAATGGCTAAAAAATCCACAATCAAGTTGGTGCTGCCGTTATACCTTCTTAATTGATAATTTAATTAAAGTAAAATACATTAAATACAAATATATATATATATATATATATATATATATATATATATATATATATATATATATATATATATATATATATATATATATATATATATATATACAATGAAAATTGTGTGTTAAGCAAAATAAAAACTTTTTAGAAAAAAAAGTTTATTTCTAAAAAGGTTTGTAACAAAATACTAGAAAATATATTTAACACTACTAGAGACCTTTCAATGTTTCATTAGTAGTGCTATTTTAAGTGCTGTTATGCAAAAAAAAAAAAAAAAATTTGAAATGAAAGATATTGTAATTTAAAAAGCAAAAAAAGGTAGAAGTTTAATTGTGATGGACTCTGCATATTACAGCAAAAAACTTGTCAATCAAGAAAAAAATCGTCAATTAGGTATGAAAAGACAAATTCAAACTCTGACTAGTTTTCAAAAATCTTTTTAAAATGATAATAAACATAAATGCTTAACACAAAATAGATAGACTACATTACAAAATTTGAATGGAAATAAAGCAATTTTTATGTAATTCGCGAAATTCACAAATGTAAAGAAATAATCAACAAAGTCCAAGAATCTAACTCCCTATTTATTGAAATGCAAGCTCCAAAATCTAAAAGGTTGACCTATCATTGCAGGAATCAACTCACCTACATCATATTTAAGCCAATTTCTGCACTTAATTCCATCCCCTATTGTACTGAATTTCTGCACTTAATTCCATTCCCTATTGTACTGAATTTCTGCACTTAATTCCATTCCCTATTGTACTGAAACAAAAAACTTATATAAAAGATGATTAGTATTTTCAAAGAAAAATTCCAAGAAAAGTAAATTAAGATATCCAAGAAATTCCAAGAAAAGTAAATTAAGATATCCAAGAAATTCCAAGAAAAGTAAATTAAGATATCATACTAACGTGTGACATTGATACCTTTACACTATGATTCCCCATGACCTTGGATTAGAAACATTAAAGTTCTGGGTTAAAAAACATAAAAACCTAATACCTGAACAAATTACTACCAATTCCATTATAGAATCAGCATCTTTTATTTTAAAAAACAATAATTTCCTCTTCAATAATTATTTCACCAAAATACAGGCACAGCAATGGGCACAGAATTTGCATCAGACCATGTCTTTCGATAGAATTTTTAGAAGAAACTTTTTCCAAAAAATTTTACCAAGGTTTTTTTCAAATGACGAAGTTCAAAGTATTGAACAATTCTACTTTAGATATGTTTATGATGGTTTTAACATATGGCCTAGACATCTAGATATAAAAAAATTTAAATTGTCACTCGCTGAATTAAACAAGTCAAATACCTTTACAACTGACTATGGCATTGAATTCATTAAAAAAGAAAATATTTAAAATATAATTAATTTCTCAGACATTTCTGTTATTCTTCAAAATATCAAATATATCAAAACGGATATATTTTATAAAGAAACTAACACTTATGATTATTTAAATTTTAATAGTCATCATCCTTACCACACCAAAAAAAACATTCAGTTTAGTCTTGAAAAATTTTTTTTTTATTTACATCTGATTATAAAAATTGCATTTAGCAGAGCTAAATTATTAGCTTAAATTATGGCTGAAAGAATGCAATTACCCAGACAATGTTATTAAAAAAGCATTTCTTGATTCAAAGCTTTAAGAACCAGCTCAACAAAAGAAAGCTATAGATATTTTTCCTTTAGTCATTACATTTTACAGTAATATAAACTGCCAGCCTAAAACTAAACTTCTATTCAGTCTATCCTCTACTGAAAGAATAAAACAAATTTTTTCTAATATTAATCCTGTAATAGCTTACAAACAACGACCAAATTTACTGAGACAACTTACTTCTGCTAAATTTAATTCTGTACCATCTAAAACATAGGAATTCTTTAATGTAATGATAGTCGTTGCAAAATTTGTCTATTTTACCTGCAAGAGGTAAAAATGTTTGTAAAATCCAATGGTACCATATGGAACATGAAAAGTCATGTAACTTGTAACAGCAGGATGTCATTTATTATTTAAAAGTTTTTTCAGCTTTTAATTTTTCTAGAACTTAAAAGTGATAAAAATTTATTGTCATATGAAAATCATTTGCATAAACAAAAGAATCATACTTTTGAATCCTGTTTTAAAAAACAATGATAACTATTAGCAAAAATACATTAATTATACTTTTGTTACCACGGCGATCTATACTGAAGGCCTTGCCATCGCGCAAACAAATTATATGATTAGGGGCCTATTTTTTTTAACAGCAAAAACAAAACAAAAATGTGCTTAGTAGTTTTATGTTAACTCAAAATGTTTTATTTTATAATAACCAAACTAAAATTCAAGCAAAATATTTCTTAACTTATAAATTTTTCTCAAATTCAAAAACAAAAAATCAAACAATATATATATATATATATATATATATATATATATATATATATATATATATATATATATATATATATATATATATATATATATATATAATATTGTATGATATTTTGTATTTGCAATAAAATAATTTCTTGTACGTATAAGAGTGCTCAATAATAAATAAATAGGATTTATTTATATTATTTAATAGAGCATTATATTAATTTATATAAATAAAGAAAACAACTTTTTATGGTACTAATAGTTTCATGCCTAAAGGCAATCATCAGCCACGTAATAAAAAACAAGAAACAAAAAAAAACGTTAAAATATAAAGTTACAGTGGAGTGTGCTCCGTCGTCAAAACAAAAACAAAAAGATAAGAAAAAACTAAAAACGGCTGCCTAATCACCCGTATCGAAATTCGAAAGGAGGAATTTGCTTTTATGTCTACATTTAGATACTAATTCATTCCTCTTATTTAATAAGTTATCATAGGTGTACGATATTATGAAATACTTTTCGTATAGACATAAGTTGCATCGTTTTATTGTAGGATTGTAAGATCTACAACGTTTTAAAATTTTCCATTTAATTGTCGGGTTTACTCCATTTTCTTTTAACTTCCATACTTCCTTAGACAACTCAGTATCGTTTTTATATTTTTCGATGTTAAAAGATTTTGTATGATTAGCGTATCTAAGTTTAAAAGCAGTTTCACTTACTCCAAAATACACTTTTTCAATCCCGTCTGGAGTGCCTGGATATAGAGTGGCTTGATACACTATGTTATTAACGAGGCACTGTTGATTTAAAGGGCACTTGCTTTTAGTAATACAATTGCAACTTTTATCTGATTCTGGGGTGATGTTTTTTCTTAATATGACGGTTATGAAAGTTAACGATTGATTTAATGTTTGGCATAATGTAAACCAATCAATGAACTAAATTATATACATGTTGATTCCAATCACCCTCCTAGCATAACAAAGCAACTTCCTCGTTCTATAGAATTAAGGCTGTAATCTAATGACACTAGCTTTCGAAGCTCTGCTCATTTGTATCAGGATGCATTAAAAAAGTCTGGTTTCAAATTTAAACTTAATTATATTTCGAAACTCATTCAACCTCTACCAAAAAACCGTAAGCGCAATATTATCTGGTTTAACCCCCCATATAGTAAAAATGTTTCTACTAAAATTGGTAAAATCTTTTTGGATTTAATTGACAAGCACTTTCCAGTTGGCCATAAATACCACAAGATTTTTAATAGAAATACTCTAAAGGTGAGTTACAGTTGTATGCCAAACATTAAATCAATCGTTAACTTTCATAACCGTCATATTAAGAAAAAACATCACCCCAGAATCAGATAAAAGTTGCAATTGTATTACTAAAAGCAAGTGCCCTTTAAATCAACAGTGCCTCATTAATAACATAGTGTATCAAGCCACTCTATATCCAGGCACTCCAGACGGGATTGAAAAAGTGTATTTTGGAGTAAGTGAAACTGCTTTTAAACTTAGATACGCTAATCATACAAAATCTTTTAACATCGAAAAATATAAAAACGATACTGAGTTGTCTAAGGAAGTATGGAAGTTAAAAGAAAATGGAGTAAACCCGACAAATAAATGGAAAATTTTAAAACGTTGTAGATCTTACAATCCTACAATAAAACGATGCAACTTATGTCTATACGAAAAGTATTTCATAATATCGTACACCTATGATAACTTATTAAATAAGAGGAATGAATTAGTATCTAAATGTAGACATAAAAGCAAATTCCTCCTTTCGAATTTCGATACGGGTGATTAGGCAGCCGTTTTTAGTTTTTTTTTATCTTTTTGTTTTTGTTTTGACGACGGAGCACACTCCACTGTAACTTTATATTTTAAAGTTTTTTTTTGTTTCTTGTTTTGTATTACGTGGCTGATGATTGCCTTTAGGCATGAAACTATTAGTACCATAAAAAGTTGTTTTCTTTATTTTTATAAATTAATATATATATATATATATATATATATATATATATATATATATATATATATATATATATATATATATATATATATATATATATATATATATATATATATGTATATATATATATATATATATATATATATATGTATATATATATATATATATACATATTGACTTGACCCCGATGGTTCCTTTATTGATTGTATAGTAGTTCAAATTTGTTTGAAAAGAAATTAAGAGTTTAATTTACTTATAGGTATCATTATGGAAATGAACGATGGTCCACCGAATAAGCAATTAACCATTAAACCCAATACAGTTTTTGCAACAGAAGTTGATTCGTCCATTGCATTTCCAAACATTGTACCACCATGATATAATAACATTTTTTAAACATAAACCTCGTCATGCAATAACTTTCTGTTTTTCTTCAATAGATTGAAAAATCTAAGTGAAAAATTTTTTTCGTTTAATTTAGTTATTTTTGTAAATGTTCTTACAGAAGGCAATTAGTAATCTGTTTGCAGTTGATTATACAAACTTCTGGATGTAGCAAAATACTGTAAAATTCTAATAATAATTTCTTTAGAATAAATCTTATTTCCAACACACTGTGTACCCATAGAAGCTAAATGTTCTTGAATTACAATTTCTTTTCTTTGAGGAATCAAACTCTTTAAATAACGTAGCACTTCTTCTAATATTGACCATGCATTAATTTTTGAAACTCTGTTTTTAGAAACTGTAGGAATTTTAATTTTGACTTCATAGTGATAAGTTTCAAAATGTAAATTGTCTCTAATCTTGATTAAAAAATATGGAACCCCATTTGAATAAGCTTGCGATTGCAAATGAATAATGCTATTAATCATAAAACATACTGATAAAACATACCTAAATCTCTTTCACGACATATTTGAGAAAAATAGAATCCAGCATTTCCAGAAATATGGGTGTTAATTAAATAAAAATACAATTCGTCATCAATAATAACTACTTTTTTCCTTAAAATTGAAACCAATATGTGGCACTTTGAACAAACAGCTGCTTTATCTCTTTTGCAGACATCTTTTTTGCTTTGCAACCACTTCCAACTTTTCTTTCTGGTCCTATACTATTCTCCTTTTTTTAAAGTATAATATAAATAGTAGATTTTGGTATGTTCTTCATTCGAAAATGATTTACAATAAAGCTTTTATTCTTATCTGGATGCAAATCCAAAAATATGTACACTCATTTGCTAAGGGAGTCTTTGTTACAAGTCTTTTTTTTTCATTTTTAATTATTATTAAATACATTTTTTTCAATAATACATTTAAAGAATTAAATTTGTAACAAAATAGAAGTGACTGCAACTTTTCGGGCTTAATAATAAGACTAAATTTGTCTTCTTCTAGCCCTGGTCATGTAATTATATTTTTTATTGGCAAATATGTAAATAAATAATATATATATATATATATATATATATATATATATATATATATATATATATATATATATATATATATATATATATATATATATATATATATATATTATATTTATATTTATATATATATTTATTTAAATATATATATATTTTTTTGCGATTATTTTATGTGTTTTTTTTTTGTGTTTTTATATTCTATGTTTCCATTCTGTTTTATTTTTATTTTGTTTTTATATTATAACATTCAAGAAGGTATGGTTTATAATAAAAAAAATTTATTAGTATGGTTTATAATAAAGAAAAAATTATTAGATTGGTTTCTGCTCGTCTTGAATCTAATATTTTGAGAGTTATCAATCCTCACTTTGCTTCAACAAAAGATTCAGTTGCAAAACAGAATTTGATAAAAGCTGTTGAGCTTATTGGAAAAGCTGTTCAACCAAGTCATATGCAACAAGATGGTTTTGTGTTTACACGAAGGGGTGATTTATTAAAACATATGCAGGTGAGAACAGTGGTTTAGTTCGCTTTATTTGAAATCAGTGTATTTATTTGTTTAAAAAAATATTTAAATATGGCTTGATATTGAAAATCATTTTTTGTTGTTATTGTTTTTGCAATTTTTTACTGTTGTTGCAATAGACAATATAACAAATACCGTTGCTATGATTTTACCAACAATTGTCAAGCTACTTTTTTCAGTTTTTGTAAATATATTTTTATATTTAAATATTAACAAGACAGTTGTTAACTATGCAAAATTAAAGTTTAGAATAAAAAAAGAAATATATTTTCTGGCTGTTTAAATTAAATTTTGTTCTTTTTATTCAGAATGATTTTCTATATTTTATCTTTTAATTTTTTTAGTTTTCAAAATTTGATTGATTCATATTTTTCAAGTTTTATTCCTGCATTATACTTTAGGTTTTCAAATTTTTCAATGGAATTTTTAAATTTGATTTTGAAAAAATGTTTAGATTTGAGGAGTTAGAAATGTAATTTCTAACTACTAAAATCTAAAAGTTATAAAAAAGTATTTTATTTATTTTTATAATTTATAAAGCACAATTCAATTCATCAGGTTCTAAATCAATATACCAATTACCATGACAATTACCATTAGCAATATATAGCTATGTATAGGATAGTATTGTCTTGTTGTGTTGTTGTCTTGGTAATGTATAGTTGTAAAGAAGGTACCAGCAGCTTTTAGTTGCTTTAAGTTAAAGTAGATGGTTTATAAAAAAATAAGTTAAGTATAAGAAATAAGAAAAAAAAATAAAGTTAACTAGTTGCTTATCTTGTTTAAAAAATAAGTTTTAAAATCATTAACATAAATAAACCGCTTTAAAGACGTCATTTTAAATCTAGAATTAAAAAAATTAGTAAACATAAACAAAACTAAAACTTTTACGATAGTTTTTTTTTTTTTTCTTGCATAAAGCTAAAGTTTTCAAACTAAAAAAGTTTTCTAACTTAAAAACAAAAATATCTGAAATTTTTTTTGTTAACTGTCTTAACCCAAACAATATTCAAAGCCATGGTTTCTTTATTAATGTTTTATTTACATAAGTTCATCTAACTAAATGGCTTTTATGTTAAACTACCCATTTTAACAGGATCCAAAAAATTATAAAAATTAAAAAATAAATTCTTTACCTTTCATTATGTATGAAAACATTTGAGAAAATGTTTTATACCAACAATTATTTTAAAAACTCATTAATTTTTACTCACTCCAGTTTAATAAGTTGCATAAGTAAATATATGTAAAAAAAAAAAAATTAAATAAGATAGAATCAGGAAAATTTGTAACTTAAATTTTAGCACATAATGGTTTTATGGTTTAATAAAGGTACTCCGCCTAAAGCGTTTGATTTTTCTAATTGACTCCTTACAAGGCTTGATTATTGACTCCTTACAAAGCTTGAAGCCTTTTAAGGAGTCAATTAGTAAAAAAAAATTAAAAATAAAAAATAATGGTAAGGTAAGTAAGATGGTAGGCATAATATGTAAGATGGTATGGATGCTAATTGAAAACATTTTGGGAGCTCCAAAGAGATCTAAAATCTGTTTATGAACATCGTATCTTCAAAATTAAAAAAGTACAGATCTTTCTAAGATATTTCTTCTAAAAATCCATTTTGAACCTAGAGTCCTTATAAAAAATTGCAACTAGAACATTCAGTTTTAATAATAGTTTTTAAATCATTGTCTCCCGTAGAGTCATTTCATAAACTAGGCAGTTTCATGATCTGTTGTATAATACAAATATTATTTATTTTGTAATATGTGATGTATATAATTTATACTGTAATATGTGATATATATATATAATTTATGCTGTAACATATGATATATATATATATATATATATATATATATATATATATATATATATATATATATATATATATATATATATATATATATATATATATATATATATATATGATATATAAAATGTAACATGCTCTATAATAATAATCAGTTTTTATATATATAATTTATGCTGTAACATATGATATATATATATATATATATATATATATATATATATATATATATATATATATATATATATATATATAAAATGTAACATGCTCTATAATAATAATCAGTTTTTTTATATATAATTTATGCTGTAACATATGATATATATATATATATATATATATATATATATATTTATATATATATATATATATATATATATATATATATATATATATATATATATATATATATATATATGATATATAAAATGTAACATGCTCTATAATAATAATCAGTTTTTTTATATATAATTTATGCTGTAACATATGATATATATATATATATATATATATATATATATATATATATATATATATATATATATATATATATATATATATATATATATATATATATATATATATATATGATATATAAAATGTAACATGCTCTATAATAATAATCAGTTTTTTTATTTCAGATGTCAGATCTTGACATCTGAAATGAACCAAAAATGGCTAAAAAATATTTATTTTTTTGGTATTTCTAATATTAAAAAAAGTATCAATTTAATAATTAATATCAAAAACACAAAACTTTTTTAAAATACAAGTTTTTAAAATACAAGTTTTTTTTAAAAAAGTTTTTTACAGAACATAACTAGAAAAAAAGTAATAATGTCAACAAAAATTCAATTCCTCATCCAAAAAATAAGTTTTGTCTGAATATATAATCCAAGGGTATATATTTACAAATCCAAATAAAATAAAAATATTGAGATTATATAGCATTAGTATTTTTGATTTAGACTCTCTGCTACTGACTCTTGCTTCAGTTAGTTAGTTGCTACTAGCTACAGAGAGTTACTAGTCGTAGTTTTTCAGCAAAATCCATTTATTTAACCCAAAAACAATTTTTTTTTAATAATTTTTCAAAATTAGGTTAGGTGTCACTCATATAGTTAAAAACTATTCGTTGGAGTGATACCTAAATAAAATAAACAAACAAACAAAAAATTCAACAGCAATATTAATAAAAAAAAGCAAGCGTAAAATAAATTAATTAAAAAAAAAATGATTAAGCTATATATAATTCATTATTTTTCACCCTCCAAAAAAAATAATTAGTAATGATAATGTTAAAATTGAAATTAGCGGTAAAAGAATCTTTCCTTCTGAATTTATAAAATATCTCGGAGTATTTCTTGACAAAGTCTTGGAATTATCAAATGATTCAATAAAAAACTCTCTCGAGCCAATAGTATGTTATCTTTAATACGACACTATGTTCCTAAACATACTCTAGTATCAATTTACTATTCCATGTTCTCATCCCATCTAAGCTATTGTTGCGTTGTTTTGGGGCAACAAGGAAGTTTTCTATTAAATTGTATAAACAGTTTTCAACATGCTTCCATAAGAATTATGACATTTTCTCCTATTCAATCTAATATCCAAAAAAGGTTTTCTGAATTCTTACAATTTCAAGATCTTATAAAGCTTTACAACTGTCTTTTTGTGTTTTCCTCCAAAATAATCTGCCAAGTTCGTTTAACAATTTTTTCATTAAAGCAAGTGGTACACATAAATACTATACTCGTATTACTATAAATGGTAATTTGCACCCTTCTTTTTTCAATACTGTCAAGTATGGCAAGCTCTCCATAAAACATCAATGTATTTCTCACTGGAACCAATTAATACCTTTTATAAAAAAAAAGATTTTAACTAAATACCCTTTTGTTACTAACTTTCTTCTTCTCAACAGAAACCTAATTAAGAAATTTTTATGTGAGCAAATATCTAAAGAATATTAATGCTATCTTTTATTATTATTCCTTCAATATATTATTTAATTAATTACACTTATTTTTATTTTTTTTGTTCTTATTCTTATTCTTTACATTGTTACTACTATTATTTTTATTATTGTTATTACTATTATTTTTATTATTGTTATTACTATTATTATTTATATATCTTTGTTTTTGTTGTCTTAATATTGTTACCTATAATGATAGTCAAAGTAGTTCATTAGTTGCAGTAGCTTTATCATTATTGTTATAACTATTCTTTAAATTGTTTATATTATAAATATTAACTATACTATAATTATCTTACTATTGCTTTATCATTTATAATTCTTTTTATGTTGTTATATTGCAGTTACTATTTTTTATATTATTTTTATTCATATTATTGTTACTATTATTATTTTTATAAATATTTTTACTTTTAACTTTCTTTTCTTCTTTTTTCAACTTATGAGTGACACCTAACCTTATTTATGTAAATTTATAATTTATCATTGTAAATTTTCATTATTTATGGTTAAATAAATAAAATATAATAAAATTATAATTAGAAATTATTTGAAAAAGAATAATAAATTAAATAAAAAGACAAAAAAGTATGAAAACACTTAATCTATAATAACAGCAAACAACAATAAAAATAGTTGGCAACAACAGCACAAATAATAACAAACGTTATCGAAACAAAAAGACAAGCACAAAAACTACAAAACGAAAACTAAAACACAAAAACTTCTACAAAATAAAATAAATTATATTTGTTATTCTTGAAAAGCATAAAAAATTTGTAGCAAATTATTTTTGTTTTAATTAGTTCTTTTTATTATTTTTTCGAACATTTTTAAACTTCTTTTCTTTTAACTTGTTACTTCCCTTTTTAATTGATTGTTTTTTTTTTATTTTATCAAATCTATTTGTTCATTTTACTTTTTTATTCATTTTCTTGTTTTATTTTTTCTTTAATGTTTTAGTTCATTTATACCTTTTAATATTTTTGTTATTTTAATTTATTTTTAACTTATCTTTTTTGTTCTTTAAAATTTTTTCTTTCGTTTTTCTTTTTCTCTTTTTTCCCTTTTTACTGTTAAATAAACACTTCTGCCATTTGCTATGTCATTGCAAAGTGTTGCTCTTATGTTTGGGGCAGGGTGAATGACGTTATAGAATATAGCCATAATTTTAACAAGATTATCATTTAGGATTTTTGTTTTGTCTCTGTTTAAGATATTAAAATGATCTCCATATTTCTTATAATAATTAGTATTATCATAAATTTTTATGTGTAATTGTAATACCAAATTAGTATGTTGAATATGTAGTTTTTTAATTACATATTCAACCTACTAATTTAGCGAGATTAGCGTTTAAAAGGTATGAACCTCCAGATCCCTGTCAAAGCTTAGAAAAACTGTTGATTCCTAACAGTAAATTTCTCCACATAATTTTTTTCTAAACCAAATGCCATCCCCAAGTGCTTCGACATTAACAACACTCCTAAAAAAAATTTTTTTCAATAACTACAACAGTTACTTCAAAAATTTTAGTTTCAATGTTTAGCTCCATTATTTGTCAAATGTTTTGTATAGTTTTTTAGAGATGCACATAATCATATGATCAATATTTCTGATGTTGTTAACCATGGTGTTGTTAACCATGATATTGTTAACCATGGTTTACTTTTAGCTATTTTAAATGTTTAAAAAAAATCAATTTATCGCAAGTAGTTCTAAAAGTGTGTTATCATTTTTAATATTAACTATTTATAATATTTATTGTATCAACATTTACAAATTAAAATTCAGAGAAAAGATTTACTGCAAGCTGACCTCTACGTGTAAATTTCAGAACTCCAAAAAGACATTTAGTTATAAAATTATTGTTTTTAACCTTTCAGAGTAGTTCATTGCAAGTCCAAACAAAAACAAAACAAAACACATCTTTGGTAAAAAAAACTTTGATTAAAAAAATTGATTGAAAAACTTTATTGATTAAAAAGATGAAAGTTGTTTTCAATGAATCTAAAGTTCAAAAAAGACTGAATATTTATGAAATTGAAGTTAAACCTAATCCTCTATTTTGAAAATTTTAGAGGTTAATTGTGTTAATGTCTGTATACTTGGCAAATTGTATTTAACACAAACAGTCATAAGTAAGTTGCAAAATATTCTTATGCTTTTCATACAATACCTAGGGTGTATAAAACTTCACCAGCATTAACTTTATACAATATTGAGGGTGTATAAAACTTCACCAGCATTAACTTTATACAATATTGAGGGTGTATAAAACTTCACCAACATTAACTTTATATAATATCTAGGGTGTATAAAACTTCACTAACATTAATTTTATACAATATCTAGGGTGTATAAAACTTCACCAACATTAACTTTATACAATATCTAGGGTGTATAAAACTTCACCAGCATTAAATTTTCTAGACACATTAAAAAGCTCAAATAGAATAATATTTAATAGAATAAGAAATAATATTTATAGAATGAAATAATATTTATAGAAAGAATATAAGAATAATATTTAGAAAGAATCTTGTCATCTTCACGTTATGTTGTTAGAAAAAAGACTCATCAACTTCATGTTATGTTATAATGCAATAAAAACATTATTAAAAAATTTAACTGCTTTAAAATTAGCTGATTTTTTTGTAATTAATTTGTTTACAATTAAAGGTGAAACATTACAAGTTTTGCCATTAGAGTAAGCTAAAAATGAGGTTCTTTGAATAGAAGTTTATAACCTAGAATCTTCAAGTTGCACTATCTAACTTATAAACCAATAAAATTACTAAAAAAGCGCAAACGAAAATTTTGTCCAAAATTAAAAGATGTAAATGTAAACACAATATTGTAATTTGGCTTTTGGTCAGACTACTTTATTGCGCAATGTTAAGGCTTTATTGCCTTATGTTATTATGTGATTGCAATATTTATTGTATATGTAATACAAATACATGTATACTGTATATATTGTGTTTAAGCAAACTTTTTTTATTTTTTATTTTTTTAATTACAATTGTAATCATTGTCTTTTATTATCATTTTTTTTTTTTTTTTGGATACTTTTTTTTATACTTGGTAATTTTGTTTCATTTATTATTTTTTTCTTATTTCATTACTATATTTTTGTTTATTATTAAAATATTTTCTATTACTGTTTAATGTTGGAAATTTGTTTTTAATGTAAATATAAAAAAGTTTGAAATTTAATTTATTAATAAGATTTTTTTACTTTTAGTTTATGTATTTTTTGAATTTTAATTTACATTTTCAAAGTTTATTACTATAAATAATTAAGTATAAGTTTTTTTAGGCGTTCTTAAAATCGGAACCTCAAAATGCATCTACTGAATGTCGGTCAATGGCAATCGATGCAATAACTAATTTAGTGTATCTTTTCATGTATTTTTTCTTTAAGGTTTATTAAAAAAAAAAGTTTATGATACCCCACAAGCCCTCAAACTTTGGAGAGGTGAGTGTATATTTAAAAAATAAAATCATCAAATCAAGATTTACTTAATCTAAATAAAATTGGCTTTATTTTAAAGAAAAATGTTTAATTTTTAAAAATTGTTTTAAAAAGCATAATAAACCAAAAAGATTTTCTAGTACTTCATATGTTTTTTAGCTGTAATTAAAAAATAATTTTTAACTTCATAAATTTAAAAAATGTATATCACTATAAATTTTTTGGTTTCTTTTTCTATAAAAATCAAAATGTGAAAAAAAATGTAGTTTTTAGATGGTTGTTCTAAATTAAGCTCTTCTTTCATACTTTTTTTTTTGTTAATTCACCTCCTGTAGGGGAGAAAGCCACTACAGATGAGGTGAATTAACAAGATGCTACTTAACTGTGGTTATAACCCTCTCTCAACTCTATAGTCCTCTCTCAACAAATCTAAACAAATCTAAGATTTCTATCCATGATTTCCATCATCATCATCCATCCAATTTTTTAATCCATTAACTTTTATGCTATTAATTATTATTTTTATTAAAACTTATTGAAGAAGTTGTATAAAATTTATTGAAGGAGTGGATAAAACTTAATGGTGGAGCAGATAAAATTTATTGAAGGAACAGATGAAACTTATTGAAGGAATGGATAAAGCTTATTGAAGAAATGGATAAAATTTATTGAAGGAGTGGATGAAATAAAGTGAATGAAAAAAAAGTTTGCTTTTTTAAAAGATTGATCCATTCTTAATTTATTATCAAAGAAAATTTCTAGCAAAAAATTAAAAACAGAAAAAACTATAAGAAAAAACTTGAAAAAAAAGATATACATATTGTTAAAAAGAAACCATAAAACTTTTCCTTATAAAACAGAATATTCACTTATACTTTTCATATGCAAAATAAATTATCATAATTCAAATCTCAGAACTAGCTTTGCAGTAAATTAAAAATCTCTTATTTTTTCAAATTAAGTTATTTAATTTTTATTTTCATAATAATATGTTTTTTTATTTTTATAATAAATATGGCTGATGATTGCTTGAAACTTTGAGTACCGCAAAGTTGTATTTTTTCAAATAATCTAACACTATTCATATTTATTTTCAAAAAATGTGAAATACTATCATATAATTTAGTATGCAAAAGTTACAGCATTAAAGTCTTAAACTTTTTTCATAAACTTAACTCTATGTAGGGTGACGGTCGTAACGTTTACTTTTTACATTTTATGAACAAAACAACTTAGTCAGATTTAAAGCAACAAATGGCATGGTAAAAAAAATCATTTGGTGTGTGTATTTAGCACATATTGATATTATTAAATCCTGAGTTTCATAATTTTTGCTTGAAGTTTTACAAGCATGGTTTTATGATACGATTTTTAATGCTACACAACAGGGCTGTATATAAACGTCAACACATGTTTTTACAACCCTTATACCTTTAAAACCATGTAATGGTATGATAAAATAATTTTTTTAAATAACTTTTTTGCTTTAAAGTATTTTTAATTTGTTTAAAAAAAAAAATGGAGTTTAGTAGGTGTTTTCACTTTTTTTTTCTTTTTTTTTTTCTTCCTCTTTCTTGCGGAATCACTTATAATATATATATATATATATATATATATATATATATATATATATATATATATATATATATATATATATATATATATATATATATATATATATATATATATATATATATATATATATATATATATATAAAATATCAAAAAAAAAAAACTTTTATTATGGAACTTTAAGTTTCATGCCTAAGGGCAATCATCAGCCATATATTACAAAATTAAAAATTTAACATTAAAATTACAGTTAGAATTACGGTGGCGTGAGTTCTAATGACTCCATGGAAACAAAATTTTAAGGTTTTATTTATTTATATCCTTAATATTATTAATAGAAAGCTTGAACCTCCTCTGTCTGAAGCTGATTTACTAAATATTATTAATGTTTGTGCTAGTAATGTTTATCCTGTAGTTCCCAAAAGTCCAGAAAACCAGAAAAGTAGAGATAACAGTTTATCTGAGGTAACAGTTTATTTTTAATTATCTTCTGACATTTTATTTTTTGATTTTCTTTTTCATATTAATGATAAAGTCTATAATGTCTCAATAATATATTTTTTTATTTTTGTTTTTTTAGATTTTTTTCAAATTGTTTAAGTTGCAATATTATATTGTTATTTTATAGTGATATCATGTTTGATATCATGTAGTTTGTTATCTACTTTTACTAAGTTTTATTAATTTCTTTTTAATGATAAATAAAACACATTATTTCTTTAAGCATTTTCAAAAAATTTAGAATGATGGAGACATAAACACTAAAAATGCTGTTCAAAGTATGAACACCCTAATGTGCGAAGTTTCTTCACGAGATAGTTCTCCGGGAACATTGCAAAATATGATAAAGGTAAATAGTTAAAAAGTAATTAGTTAAAATCTCAACCATAAGAAATTATCATAATATGTAATATGCTGTCATTCAAGATGTTTCCTCATAAGAGAGCAAGAAAGTCTGGAAAGTAGCCAAATAAAAATAAGGACTGATTTAAATTGTTCACTTGTTTATTGATATCTGGTTTTGCCATTATATGACTATACTTTTTTTAAAGTTTTAAATTTGTTGAATCCAAAGTTAAAATTTCATTCAATTTGATTTCAACAAATGGTTTGGATAAAAAATGCATAAAACATTTTATGTCTTTGATGATGATGATGATGATTTTTTTTTTTTTACTAATTTTATGAGTATATTTATATGTATATATAAATATGTGTTTATGTACACTGTCCTCCGAAACATAACCAAATAAATTTTTTTATTTTTTTAAATTTAATTTATGATAAATTTGAAAAAGGTATTAAATGAATTTAATACAACATTTTTCGAAACCAAAATACTCATGAAACGGAATGAAATTGTTAATGTTGCATATAAAGGAAAGATTTGTACATAACATAACTTCCTGAAAGTGAAGAAACATAATGTTTTGCAAGGAATTTTTTCTTGTGTAATTTTTTCTACATTGCTTCAATAGGTTTATATAGTTCATTAGCATTTTTGAATTCTATATGTTTTTTAAAAAGTTCTATTTGATGTCTTACAATCAAGTTGAGATCAGGTGACTTTCAATCAAGTGTTTTCAATGATGTCAGGTAAGATTTATCCTGCAACTGGTAAAAATTTTTCAGCCAATCATTATCGCAATAATTTAGACCTTCCTATATTTATGAACGGTAATGTACTTGATGAGTTATCTACCCTTTATCTTCTAGGATTAACACTTACTTCCGATCTTTCTTGGAAACCATATATTAATTCCGTTGCAAAATTAGCATCTGCTAAAGTTGCATCTCTTTATCAAGCTCGATACTTTCTTACTCTGGATTCTGTTCTCTATCTCTATAAATCTCAAATCTGACCTTTTATGGAATACTGTTGCCATATCTGGTGCAGATCTTCTGATGATGCCCTTTCTCTTTTAAACAAGGTGCAAAAACGCATTGTAAACATAGTTGGACCTTGCAGCCAACCTTCAACCTTTGTCACATCGCCGTAATGTTGCTTCTCTTTCTCTTTTCTAAAAATACTATAATGGGCACTGCTCTAAAGACCTAGCGTCTCTTGTGCCATCTACTAAAATTCATTCTCATATTACTCGTCATTCAATTAAGTCTCATCCTTTTTCTGTTACTGTTCCTAAGCGCTCCAAAAACTCTTATTCTTCTAGTTTTTTCCCTCCAACATCAGTTCTTTGGAATTTGCTTCCTTCATCTTGCTTTCCTTATTCATATAATTTGCAATCTTTTAAGTCGTTTGTCAATCGTTATCTTGCTCTAGAATCTTCATATTTTCTCTTCCAGTAACTTCCAACACTAATTATTAGTTGCTTGCAACCTTGTTAGAAGCAAGGATATTTAAAAAAAAAAAAGTGATTTTGCTGAACCAAATTAAAAAAATGAAGTTGCTGGCCATTTCATTACTTTTATTTGATTTAGTGCAAACATTTGAGTTTGGTGTTGCTTTCATAGCCATAGCATGTTATCAGCATGATATTCCACCATATTGCTTGATTTCTTGCATATTTAAGGTCAATACTTTTAACTTTAGGTCTATGTACCTTCAAATTGCTTTCACGACAAATTGAACTTTGATTCATCATTCCACACAACTCCTTTCCAATCATTAATACCTCATCATCTATTTTAATATCAATTCTAGCTTTTCGTTTCTTTGTACAAATGAAAGACTTTTTCAGCTGCTCTAAAGTTCATAAGTCCTGAAAGTTGTAATTATCTGTAAACTGTGTTTTTTTAGGACACAGTTACTTTGGACAAGTTTTTTTCAAATAAATTTGATAAAACAATGTATGCAAATGAGTAAATGGGCAATTAGTTAATAAAACTTTTTAAATGTAAGGGCGAATAAATGAGTAAATGTAAGGGCGAACAAATGAGTAAATGTAAGGGCGAATAAATAAGTAAATGTAAGGGCGAATAAATGAGTAAATGTAAGGGCGAATAAATGAGTAAATAGGCAATTAGTTAATAAAACTTTTTAGCATATGATAATAATCTTAATTTCATCAACAAAAGTAGGTGTCACATGGGGGGTAGGGGGGTGGAGGATGCTATCAACAGGTTTTAATTTTCATATAATAATAATCTTTTAAACATTTAAAAGTTGTGACCATGTAAAGTTTCCACTCTCTCCGAAATGAGGAGGTTGTAAATTTCACATGATTATAACTTTCAAACAATAAAAACTTAAATAAAATTTAATACATAAAGTTTTAAAATTTAACTTCATAAATCTGTTTATGAAGTTAAATTCAACTTCTTTCTCCCTGCAACGGCCTTGTTGGTTGAGGTTTGTGTTTTTCTATAGACATTTTTATGGATGTGGTGACAACTTAAAACCTACTAAACCAAAATTAAGTGTTACTAGCTAACTAAACCAAAATTAAGTGTTACTAGCTAACTAACCCAAAATAAAATGATACTTAAAACTTTTATAATATATTTTATAATAACATGGCTTCTAAAACCTTAAAAAGCAATTTTTTTTGATAAAATTGAATTTTTAATTCTACATTTCTCAATCTATTTTTGTCTATCTCTGTCAAAAAAATGGTACAAGTATACATTGTATACATTAAATTGCATGAGGAGACAAAATAAAATTACTTTTAGATTAGCAGAATAGAAGGAAACACTTATATGTTAATTATATGTTATTGTTTGTGATGTCTAGCATAACCATCAATAAGTTAAGTACTTTGAAATAATTTTTCAGATTTTAGAGCCATACACAACATCGGTGCACAACCATGAGCGTGAACAAGTGATGCAGACAGTCAGAGACATTCTATCAAACTTTCTTGCTATTACAAACTTTCAGGTAGCTTTATTTCTTTATGGTTGATTTTTTTAATCACTTTATTGTTGCTTGTTTTGTTAATTTTTTTAATTTTTCTAAATTAGAGTGGGGTGCACTTTAGCACACTTGGTAACATATTAGGACGTTTATTACCTCGTTGTACTGATCCTGTGGTTTCAGTTCGTCAAAATAGTGTTGAATGTGTCCAAATACTTTTAACAATTAATGATAGATATGAAGGTTGAATTTTTGTAGCATTTTTCAGGAAAATTTTTTTAATAAGTAATGATCATAATGATGCTGGTGGTTGGGACAGTGGAGATGTGATGGTGATGATGATGATGATACATACATAATGATGATGATACATACATAATATACACATACACAGTGCATAATATGAAATAAAATTAAGTTATGATATATTTTTATTTTTAGGTGTACCAGCAAATGTAAATGATGAACGAATTGAAGCGTTAACTCAATTAAGAGAAAATCTTCTCCACAATGAACCAGCACTTCTTTTTACTGTTGTCAATGAACTTTCAATAGTTTGTTACTTTTTTTATTTCTTCTGTCCTTAATAAAACTCAATTTATCTTTTTCTTTACCACTAATTATGTTAATAATTCAAAAAATTTTTTTAGCTACTTGTTAAAGTTTATTATTATTTTTTTTATATTATTAACATTTGTTATTATTATTTTTTTATTTTTTATAACATTTATTCAAGGTTATAAGCAAGAAGGTACCCGATGAACAAGTTAAAACTTTGGTATTCTCTCTAATAGAAGGCCTTCGTGACGTGCACAGTCAGAGTTCAAGTGGAGCTTGTGCAATTTTAAATTGTTTAATTAAATTCAGAGGAAGTGAAATGAACAAAGAGGTAATTCATTATTTTTGACTGCATATTTTATTAAATATAGTTAAATAGATTAAATATTTTCTTATTTTTTTAATTATTTATTGTTAATAGGTAGTAAAGTTATTAGACTTAAAATATTAAAAATTTGTTGATTATTGACTCAAATACCTTGCTAATAATAGAAGATAAGGCAGTATTTTGAGGGGTCAGAGTGTTAGCCAAGTGTTTAAAAATTGGAATCACAATGCAGTTTTCAAGCAGGATGGAAAAAAAATTCAGTCAAGCACTTATTAAATAGTTTAGAGAGAATTGTACGGTTATGACAGGAATGTTGTCTGGACCAAATGTCATAGTTAATTGAGATATGACTAGAAGGGATGAAGTTGGATTTGGATGTTTAACAATGGGGTAACATGTTTAATTGGAATGGATTTATTGATGATTTGAAATGATTCATTATATAGAGATTCAAGAGTGAAAATGGAGCAAATAGTTCTTCTCTTTTAGGAGAGATAAGATCAGAACCATAATTTAAATGTTTTTGGCCTTTGTAGATGGAACTGTGGAATATTTTTTGCAAGTCTCTAGATATTAAGTTTCGGGATAAGTTACAAGATTTAGTAAAGTGGGGGTTATGAAACTTTTTCATAACCCCCAGTTTACTATTTTTTTATTTCATAACCCCCAGTTTACTATTTTCAGGGGTTATTGTAAAACTATTTTTTTTACTTCTTGTAATAATAAAAAATTTCTTGTAATAATAAAAAGATGTTTGATTTCAAAAGAATTCTTGTAAAAGATTGTATGTTAGATAAACCAATTACACAAGAAGGAGAAAACCATGGAATCGAATCAAGTTTGACTTGAAACTAAAGAGAATGTATAAGAGCTTTCATATCTGCTTGGATCCAGACGGTTAGGCAGGAGTTGCATTTATCAGCAGGTAGGTAAAAGACACCCAAGGACCATTATGAAGAAAATCTTAAAAAGAATCCCAATCAGCTTTAGGACAGATATGGTGAATATGATATGCCTGAAGAAGAAGATTTTATCAAGTAATGATAAGGTGAGCCTGAAGAAGAACTGCGAGATAAAAGATTATAAATCTTTTATCTTGCAGGTCATTCATGGTTGGAACCACCTATAGGAGATTAAGGAGAAATTGAGCACATGGTTGGGCAAGAGAAAAGGCACAAATCTAGGAATTAAAATATATGATAAAGGTTGTCTGGAAAACAAATCACAAAGTTGACTATCTGATTAAGAGATTGAGAAATTGAAAAGTTTTAATGCCAGCAAGGTCAGTAGTGTTAGCGTCAAGCCATTCAGTGTGATGAGCATTAAAGTCAACAATAACAACAAAGAACTGGTCAGAAATGACATTATCAAGTTAAAATGACATACAAAAGAGTGCAGTCATGAGAAGACCCAGTTTAAAGCACAATAAAGAATAATAAAAGAACGTGATTGAGTGAAGAGCTTAAGGGAAGCAGAATTAAGTCAGTTATATATTTCTTGACAAGTATGTAAATAAATGCATAGGTATATGCATGTATCTTTATGAATCAAAGAATTATAGCTGTCGATACTGAGATTTGAAGATGAACTATTTGAATTCAAGTTAGTCTCACAAAAAGTCTGGTGAATTATGCAATAGTTAATATCAAAGTAATGTAAAGTTAATATTTAAAAACCATAGATTGAAACAGATTGTGGTGTTTTTTTTGTTATTAGGTTTTTTGGATACTTCAATCTTGTTTTTAATTTGAGAGCATCATTAACTTGAAACATGGAACCTGACTTGATCATAGATAAAGCATGACACCCCAAGCACTGCCCTTTCCCCCCCCCCCCCTTAATATATATTTTTTTCCTATGGGTGATGATGCCTTTGCAAATTCTAATTAATTAATGCAAAAGTATAAGTCTAATTAATGCAAAAGTATGACTATAAGCATCTTATGTAGCCATGACAATGACAAATCACATGGCAATCAAATGACAATCAAATGACAAATGGTACCAATAGTACCATTTGTGACACCATTCATGCTCAACATGGCGATGGTAATACTTTGATATTTTACAGCTGTTGATGAAATTAGCCTTTCTGAGTTTTACCGCTGAGTTTGGGAAGCCTTTCTACAAGCCAGCCTCAGTACCATTAGGCTGAGTTTTAGTGCTGTACCCTCATTAGGAGAAAACAAAAAGATATGCATTGCCAGTATTGAGGAGACAATCAACAATCAATTAGTCGGTTCAAGAAGATCCAACATTCATCATCCTAGGCAGGAAGCAATGTAACACAGCCTAATAGATAAAGAATGTAGTACTAAATTATATGTTACAAAAGTGATTAATAATATTTATTTATGCAATTATTAAATTTAATATAAAAATATATAATTAAAAGAAGTAAAACCTAGTGCTATAAGCATACACAAAAATGAGAAAATTATCTCCTAATTCATTATCAACCCTTTGACTGTGCGATAAAACTAAAACATGTTTAGAAAATTAAACATGTTCAGAAAATTAAAACATGTTTAGATTTAATTAATTCTCTATAACTCTAAAACACAAATTAATATAGACTCTATAACTCTAAAACACAAACCTTAACAAACAAGGGTGCTGCGCAGAAGATATATATGTATATATATATATATATATATATATATATATATATATATATATATATATATATATATATATATATATATATATATATATATATATATATATATATATATATATATATATATATATATATATATATATATATATATATATATATATATATATATATATATATATATATATATATATATATATATATATATATATATATTAGGGTGTTCCAAAAAAATGACTTTTTTGAATTTCAACTAACATTGCTTTTCATAAGGTGCCCCAACCTTGATATTACTAATAAATTTTTTTTTTTTTCATGATTAGATCACTCCATGACTTCCCTCAATGAGCCCAAAGGTCATTTTTTGCCCGTTTTTTGCCCATATTTCGGACTAGCTGAGGGGAGTGTTACTATTATCCAAATTAATTTTTCTTTCTTTTTTTTTGTTGTTTTATATTTTTGAAGGAAATAAAAACATAATGTTAAGCTTAATTTTTTTTTTTTTACTTAAACAATGAAGACCAAAAAATTAAAAAAAAGGCATTTTTAAGCTTTTTTGCACTATATTAGTGTTCTGCTTATTAACAAGATACTTTACGTATTAAAATATTTATATTTACATAATAAAATCATATTTATGATTAGTTTCTGAAGAAATTAGTTGTCAAACATAGTTCATGTTTATAAATTTATTTTGTAAACAAAGAATTCTTTACATAATCACATTTTTTTTTAATTGTTCTTTCACTCTTATATTTGTTTGATACGAGGAAGGTTCTTTGTCTTTTATCCTCATTATGCGATTTATTGATCAACTCCTATTAAAGAATATTTAAAAGTAATGAGGTTGTAAAATAAATTAAGATTTTAACATAAACATTAAGGACCAAACATATAAAATAGTTACCTGAACTAGTTTTATAGCCCTCTCACTACAGTCATTTACTACTTCAAGATTATTCACAAATTGTTTGAATTCTAAGTAATAGTCATTTAGATCCTATGTCTCAGATGGAGTCTTAAGCCACTGTACTTCAGCATTTGCATGGTTTAAGATATGAAAAATTAACCAACTCTGGTCAGTTATAAGCGGGGTCAAACTTGGGGGAGTATCATCATTAAATGCGGTAGTGGTGTAGTGGTAGAGCGCTCGCTTCATAAACGAGTGGTTCCGAGTTCGATCCCCACCAAGTCCCTGGTAGTACCGCGCTCAACTCGTTTCTCTGCGCAGCGGCCTTGTTCGTCAAGGTTCGTGTTTCGGAGTTATAGAGTTGAGAGAGGGTTATAGCCACAAAATAAGTAGCCTCCTCGTCTGTAGTGGCCTTCTCGGCCTTGAGGAGGTGAAGTAAAATAAAAAAAAACAAAAAAAAAAACATAAGGGAGTTCAGTATATTTAAATTAACCTGATGTCTTTCTATGGCATAAGTTGTAGGTCTTGGGGTTGAGTACAACTTCTTGGCAATGTCACTCCGTTCTTGTACATTTTTGTCAACAAGATACATAACTAAAATATTTGGGTCTATGTACCAGGTGTGTCTCTTTAGAGACTCTATAACAGGTTTTGCCTGGACAGGATTGATTTTTGAGTATCTCATCTTCTGCCAAAGAGCTTTCATATCCTAAAGATTTTTAGACTATGAAGTATTACACAAAATTTTCAAAGAAAAAAAAGTAATAAAAAGCAAAATGATTAAAAACTTTTAAAACATAGAAATGTCACCTGATATGGAGCGACAGCCGAAATTTCAGCCTTTATAAAACACTAAGTGTAAAATACAGCTGTGAAGAATGCCATATCATTTATTTCTTTCTTCTCAAAATCTGTCAAGCTAGAAATGTTGTTTAGAAGGAGATACATTTTCAGAAAGTATATTCCCTTTGCCATAAATCTGGCATGGTGTACAGGCCCAGGTTTTCTTAGCCTGTACTGTTCATCACCAGATAAAACCATTGTTGTCAATTCCACTAACTCTTGATAATCAGACCTACATCCATCCTAAATAAGATTATTTATTTAGACACAAAACAGTACCTTACTAAACTTATTTTATTATAGAGTATTCACTTTATTCAAAATTTTAAATACCTTTTTCATTGTTTTCATTCTGATAATATTTTGAGAAAAAGATAAGGCTTCTTTGAACTGTACCTGCAGCCAGCTATCAGAAATATCTTCAATTTTTACTTTGTTTAACACAATGGAATTTTGATCAATTGAGTTCCATACATCTTTAAGCTTCTTAAACAATGGATTATCTGGACCAT